AATGGAAGAAATGAAGAGGTAAAAGAGCTGAACAGAAAATTTCAAAGGTCAGCCCAAGAAGATAAAGCCAAATCTACAACAAAATGTGCAAAGATCTGGAGTCAGAAAAACAAAAAGGAAGAACACGCTCAGCATTTCTCAAGCTGGGGGAACTGAAATAAAATTTCAAGGCTTGACTTTCGTTATTGAAGGATTCTCTGGGCAAATTATTGAATGATGCAGAAAGCATCAAGAGAAGATGGAAGGAATACACAGAGTCACTGTGCCAAAAGGTAATGGTTAATGTTCAACCATTTCAAGAGGTAGCATATGATCAAGAACCAATGATACTGAAGGAGGAAGTCTCAGGTGCATTGAAGGAATTGGCAAAGAACAAGGCACCAAGGATTGATGGAATAAAAATTGAAATCTTTCAAGAAAGTGAGGCGGCACAGGAGGCACTCACTCATCTCTGCCAAGAAATTTCAAAGACAACTATCTGGCCGACTGATTGGAAGAGATCCATATTTGTGCCCATTCCAAAGAGAGGTGACCCAATGGAATGTGGAAATCATCGGACATTCTCTTTGATATGCCATGTGAGTAAAATTTTACTAAAGGTATTACAGAAATGGCTACAATCATACATTGACAGAACTTCCAGAGGTTCAAGCCAGATTCTAAGAGGCCGTGGAACGAGGGATATCATTACTGATGTCTGATGGATCTTGGCTGAAATCAGAGAATATCAGAAAGATGTTTACCTGCACTTTTTTGACTATAACAACAATATAGCATGCACTATATTGGAACCCTGGTGTGGCAATGTGGGTTAATACGCTAGACTGGAAAGTCAGTTTGAACTGCAAGGTTGGTGGTTCAAGCTCACCAGATGCTCCTTGGAAACCTTATCCAGGGTCCCTATTGGTTGGAACTGGCTTGAAGTCACTTAAAAACAACATATTGTTTTGAACACTGAAGTTAAGCAGCACCCCACAGTACAGTTGTTAACTTAATCCATGTCCAGTAATCCTTGTCATTGGGAGGTCAGTGTGAAAGTTGGGAGAAAAAATTTTTATATAAACTTGACCTTAAGCAAGCATACCTAGAAGCTAATAATCACTGAAGACGTACTAAAGAGATGCATTTCCTCACTGTGGTATTCCAACTTCAGTACCTCAAACTGGAATCATCCTTTTGCAGAATGGAGGTTGTGGTGGTATCAGACCTCCCTGGCTGATATTTTCAGGCTGATCAAATTCCACAATTAACTGCTGAATCTCTTATGTTGTCCAACACTCTTAATTTGAGTGTGAGTGGGGCCTGAAGTATTCAGCTCATTCACAAGTTGTCAACAAGAGTTATCTGCCCTCAAAGGGTGTCTTTTATGGGGAAATTGCATTATGGTTCCACAAGCTGCAGTTGTCATGTTCTCCTTGTCACACTACAGGGAGCACATTCAGGAATGTCAGCACAAAAGGCATAGACCAAAAAGCTGAGTCTGGTGGTCTGAAACTGACTCTCATATTGAAAAGGTATAGCAGGGCGAGACTCTTCAGCATAATTGCCCAGAGCATTAACTCTCCTATTGTTGTTGTTGTTGTTATGTGTCATCAAGTCGGTTCCGACCCATAGCGACCCTGTATAGGGTTTCCAAGGGTGTAAATCTTTACGGCAGTAGAAAGCCTCATCTTTCTCCAGCTGAGCCGCTGGTAGTTTCGAACCGCTGACCTTAAGGTTCGCAGCCCGATTTGTATAACTCTCCTATAGTAACCCATTATCATCCAGGCCAGTCTGACTCACAGAGATCCTGCAGGACAGAGGAGAACTGCCTGATAGAGTTCCCAAGCTGAAAATCTTTGAGGACGTATACTGCACATCTTTCTCCTGCGGAGCCACTGGAGGGTTCGAACTGCCGACCTTTTGATTAGCCGCTAAGCATGTAACTGCTTCATCACCAGGGATCCTTCTTCCATAGTAAGCAACTGAGACTTCAGAATGCACGCTGACTCTGTAGAACCATTCCAGGGAAAGAAGTGGTCTTCCAGGGAATAGTAATCAAGACAACTGCATCTCATGGGGACCCCATGTGTGTCAGAATGGAAGTGGGATACAAGGGCTTTCAAGGGCGGAGTTTTCAGAAGTGAATCACCAGGCCTTTCCTCTGAGTGCCTGTGGATGGTTTTTGGTTAGTAGCTGAACATGTTAATGATTTGCACTACCCAGGTATTCATTGTGGCTCAATTTGTCACCAACCATCCAACCAAATCAATCAATCAAAACAACTGCCATCAAGTCAGTTCTGACTCATGGCAACCTGTGTGTGTGGGCAGAACTGTTCTCCATGGAGTTTTCAATGGCTGATTTGTCTCATTCTTTTGAGGCACCCTGTGGACTTAACAAAACTTTCAGTTAGGAGCTGACTACATTAACTGTTTGCAGGAACCCACAGTTTATTCTTCCTGTTGCTAAGTGCCATTGAGTCATATAGGATTTCCATGGAGTGGCTGGTGAGTTTGAACTGCTGACCTTGTAGTTAGGAAGCCAGTGCTTATCCTACAGCACCATACCAGGACTCCCAAGTTATTCTTGTTGTTGTTAAGTCCTGTCAAGTTGGACTTGGCTCATAGTGACCCTGTAGAGGGTTTCCAAGAAGCAGTTGGTGAGTTTGAACTGCTGACCTTGACGTTCAACCCACGTTTGGGTTCAGAACTTATCCTTCAACAGGACTCCAAATTATTCTTAGTTATTTCTAATTCTCCTGTTCCAACAAGTTCCTTCTGGGGATTATTCGTGTCACAAAGAAAGCCAATTATGGTTTTTCTGATAATGGATCATAAGTAATAGTGTGATACTTTATATCAATTTGAATAGAAATAAAATGTGATCACACGGACTTAGAAATGGATCCAACAATTGCATTATGAAAAATTTTAATTAGTACAATAAAAAGATAATTAAATCATTTAAAAATAGTTTGAAATAAGAATCTCCTCAAATTATCAAAATATATACATCTATTCCTCACTTATCAACTATTTTATTATACAACATTACCCAGGCAAGAGCTGGAAACTGTAGTGTTGACTCTGCCTTAAATATCCCAGTGAATGTGGGGGGCCTGGGTTCTTCCCCCCTACGGACTTATACATGTGTTCTACAAGAGAACGAGTATATCTGTGCCAGCTGAGCTGGTGAGATCAAGTCACTGCTGACTGGAGTTAGGAAAAAAATCACTAAGAGGAGAGGGGTCAACAACTGACAGTTACATTCACACTCCTCTCTCCAAGGTCAATGGATAGAAAGGAGGAGAACAGATTCCATGTCGCCCTCCCAAATCCAAGTTTATTATGTGAAATCCTGTCCTTGACAAGGGTGTGAGATTAGAATTTTTAACTATGTAGAGTTCGGTTGTTTATGTTGTTATTAAGAAAAAGGGACCAAGAAGTTATAATGCCTTGCCAATATGAGATAAAGAGATCCATTTCCTCAGTGTGAAGAAATTCAACAGGGCACATTTATACTTAACAATTGCAGAAAAACAAAACGATTTTAGGTTTATGCTCATTGGAATTAATACTGTTCAATAAACCAGCGACACAGTGTTTATTGTATTGTAAGAACATAATTAAAAGAAAAAAAAATATTAGCATAGTTACAGGTTTAGACAGACATCATTTACGTGTCATTTACAAGCCAAGGTACCAAGGAACATCAGTGGCTACAAACAAGGAAGAGTCTGGCATGGCTAAGCCCCTAAATTTCATCCTAAACTTTGAGAAAGTAAATTTCTGTTCCTTAAAGGCACCCACACTTGTGTTACATTTTACAGCAGCACTCAATAGCGAATATAGTGTTCTTTGAATTTATACTTTGTCTCCAACGTGAGTTCTCAAACTACAAATGATAATTTCTGCCTTATTTTTCTTTAAATATTGTCATGGAGCTCAACAAGCAGGTTGTGCATTACTTTTGTGTAAGTAGAAGAAAATTTGACAGTTAGAACAAGAATGAGTCTGTCAGCACTGAAGGCTTATTAATTAAGTCCAACTTATTAATTATGAAGATTGCTCTGGAATTGAAGAAGTAAGAAAGAAATAAATACAGGTATACCTCAAAGATAGTATGTGTTCAGTTCCAGACCACCACGATAAAGCAAATATCAAAATAAAGTGAGTCTGTCACACGAATGTTTTGCTTAAAATGCATTTAAATGTTATGTTTACTGTACTCCAAGTCTATTATATGGACAATCACATTATGAAAAAGTTTAAAATATTGCAAGAATTACTAAAAATGTGACACAGAAGCATGATGTGAGCTTATGCTGTTAAAAAATGGCACCGATGGGCTTACTCGATGCACGGTTGCCATCAACCTTTCATTTGTAAATAAAAAAAAGCATTATCTATGAAGTGCAATGAAATGAGGTAAGCCTGCAGGTAACAAGCTATGATCTCATTCTAGCATGTGACCCATTCTCCATTTAGAAAGCTGCTAGCCAAGCCAATCATGCTCCAAACCCTAGTTCAGGAACTCCAGGGATTCAGGAACAAGTTGACTTCTTTCCAGAGACAAGTCTTGCGTTTTACACATTTCCTGAGCAGTGCAAATGGCTAACTCACTCAGCTGCTAACAGAAAGGTTGGCTGTTGAAGCCCACCCAGAGGTACCACAGAAGAAAGATCTGGCAATCTACTTCTGAAAAATCAGTCATGGAAACCCTGTGATTGCACAGTTCTACTCTGACACACACGGCAGTGCCATGAGTCATAGTCCACCAGATGGCTACTGTGTTTTTTCCTGGTTTCTTAACGGTACTTTAGACAACTACTCTTTGTCCTCCCTCTGACAGTTTCTGACACCCTCCTTCCCCACCTTTAGTTGCAATAAGGATTTTATCTGCAGATGTTCTCATTCCTGGCATGTGTGGCTGACTAGGTAGCATTTGACATGATAGAAAAAAATGTGACATTCCTTAGCCAACATAGTATAATACGAGATTTTCAAAAGAAACATTACCTGTTTAGGCTGAGCTCCCTTTGAGAGAATGTCAAGTAAGTCGGCAGAAGAGATGAAGTAGAATCGAGGAAAAGCTATCCGCTTGGTTTCCAGGTATTCGGCAAGAGCTTTTTCACAAAGAGAAAGCCTATACAAACAAAACATCTTTTTAAGCACATCGAGCCCATTCAGTCATTAAAAATACAACAAAATACAACCCAGATTCTTCTTTCTGCCCATGTAGCACAGCAGTCTGACTATTGACACAGGCCACCCTCTTCTCTTTGATGCCACCATTTCCTTGTGAGTGATGTACAAACCCTGCCAGGAGTAGGACACACACACACATAGACACACCCCACTGGTTGAGACTAAACAGATATCAAATGTAGGTTTATGGCATCCATCAATTTTTTTTAATGTCACTCCAGACCAGGACTTGAAAAGACTGGTTTGGCATACTGCCCAATTGGAGCACAGACAGTATAGTAAGATGCAGCTGGTTAGAGGCCTTCTTTTCCTCACAGAACCTCTACAAAACACAAGTGGCTTCAACCCTCTCAGGTATTCAGAAAAGCCATAGCTCTAAAATCATTTCCACGTCACACATTCTTAGCAGAGCAGAGATGGCCCTGGAGCAGAGCCACCAAGTCCCCAAAGATCACTGACAGAAACAGTTAACTTCTGGAGAAATCCATCCTTTGCAAATTATGGCCCATTTTGACTTTGGGAAAAAAGTTCTGACTTTAAAATCATTTTGCTTAAGCAATATATATTTTTATCTAAAAGTTTATCCCATTTCATATTAAAAACTTATCATAATTTCACACAAACTTCTCCATTTAGAAGCTGATCTGCCAGTTTTCCATTAAAAAATATTCTTAGGACAACTGACTGTTGGTAACTTATTTGTGAAAATTATTTTCCACATGGGCCTTAGGGTATGGATTTTTAAAAATGTTAAAATAGATTCTAAGGACAATTTCTAATATAATTATATTCCACACAGATTAAAGGACTTAAAATAATTGTGTATAGTCCCAGTATCTGACATAAAGTAGACTCTAGATTTTAAAAATGTTAAAACAGACTCTAAGGACAATTTCTAATATAATTATACTCCACACAGATTAAAGGACTTAAAATAATTGCGTACAGTCCCAGTATCTGACTTAAAGTAGATGTTCAATCAATACTTTCAGGTTGAATTAGGGAAAAAAAATCAATCATGCTAATTCTCCTGTTAATAAGATAGTCTAACTTACATATCACTCATTGTAGTCTTTTTGAAAAACCAAGAATATTTGGGATTAGTTACATTCACTCACAATAGAGGAGCACAGTGGCTCTATAGGATAAGCACTGGACCACAAACTACAAGGTTGGTGGTTCGAGTCCACCAGCCACTTACTCCTCCTGAGTCTAAATGGATTCAAAGGCACTTAAAACAACAACTCATAATAATACATGCATCACCTAATAGGAGGGTAAGTTAAAAAGTATTGTTTGTTATTAAGGGTCTAGGTCATTCACACATGGATTTAAAAGAAAACAACAAACATGTATAAACATGTCTCTGAGGGTAGTGGATGGCTGCTGAAAATTTGTCAATATTAAACTTGTCTTAGTCTTGTTAGGTAGCCTTCACACAAAGTTTCAGTCAAAACAGTAGCAATAGAGGGGGATCTGCTGAGCCAGTTAAATTTAGGGCAGAGAAGTCAGCTCAGAAGGTTATGATGATTGTTTTGGTAAACTCCAAAGAAGTAATCTTGATAGGTTTTTTTCCAAGGACACAGGATGATCACAGGGCTTATTATGAAGAAGTTTTAAGAAAACTGAAAACTGCATTGGTGAGAAAAAGACCAGGAAAACTGTGTCGAGAAATTTTTTCCATCACAACAATGCACCTGCTCATTCTATGAGGGTAGCAAGAGGCGAATTTCACTGGGAAGCCTTTTCTCATCCAAACTATATCCCTGATCTTGCCCATTCAGACTTCTTTTTGTTCCCCAAGTTCAAGAACATTTAAAAGAAACACAATTTGAGTCCTTTGAGGATGAACAAATTGCCATTTTGACGTGGTGCTAATCAAAGAGTACAGAATTCTTCGGGGGAAGGGTTAGAGAGATGGAAACACTGGTTTCAGAAATGCACAGACCTAGATGGAAGATATAGAGAAAAACAATAACTTCACGGTTTTATTTTTTGAGTGTGATATTTTTGCTCAAATATGGTTTTATAGCAATGCTATTTTACTCCCACTCATATGTGCAAAGCAATTAAGCTATTCTAAATAGAATGGTAAAGAAAGTTTACATTTAAACTTGATGTTAAATATTATTAGATTCTTCAAAGAATTCTCATAAGATTGCAACAGATTGATCATTTAATAGCTTTATTCTTACCTATACTGCAAATCTTTAAGTTTCTCATAGAGATTGGGTCTGCATGTTGCTTCTAAAACATTTTTTATTTTAGCTGCATTAAACATTAACTCCTGTATGAAAGAACAACATGGAACAGTCAATATTAGAAATTACTTCTCTAAATATTGTGCCCATTTAAAAGATTAAAAATTCAAGAACAATGAAGAAGCAATGCTAAGATTTCTAAGGACCTCTCACTCCACATCTGTTCACATTTGCTTTTTAACTTTCAGATAAAGATCAAAACTATCAAAACATGTGATATTATTTTAGCAATATAAATTCTAAGGACATTACCCTCCCTCCAGGTCTACACAGAGTTGTCTTCATCTAACTCCCTCCCCAAAATAAGAGGGAGGTGGGGCCAGGCAGGTGGGAGAGGAAGGGAAGGAGACAGAGGGAAAAAGAAGGGCCAGAATATTAAATGGTACATTCATGTATAAAAATGACATCATGTAAACATTCTCTCCTCACAGTTAAACATTAGAATTCCTCCAGGAGCTCTGCTTTAGACTGTTGTTTTTAAGTTCTTTGGAGTCAGTTTAATTCTCAATTTTACATATATATAATATAGTTGTTTTGTTGTTAAGTGCCATCAAGTTGGCTCCAAGCCATAGCAACCCTGTATAGGGTTTCCAAAGAGCAGCTAGTGAGCTTGCACCACTGACCTTGCAGTTCAAATGCTTTGCAGTCTGGCGCATTAATCCACAGAACCACACCAGGACATACATACATACATACATAC